TTGGTGGGGTCCTGGGCGTGACATTGCCTTTGTGCATTAACACTGTTTGATTCCAATTTTAGCTTTAGCCTCATTCACATTTCTCTCTTTTTCATTGTCTTGCAGGTTCTATTATTTCCTGATCAAAAAGAGCAAAAGCCAAGTCTTACAACTAACAAGAGGCCTCACAACTACTCTTTAGACAAGGACAACATATTATCTTAAAGCATCACACGATGGACAGAGTTAATACGGTTCAAAACATGATCAAACCTCAATGTAGGAGCTTCACTCCTGCGCGACAAATGTGCAAATTAAACGCATGAAAGAAAATCGAACACTAGTTCAGAATTTCAGACGGCAAGCAACCAGGATACCAAATCAAAGCACAAATTTCGATGCAATGCTAATCTGGTCCTTAACCTTCTGCACTAAACCTGATCAAGAACAAATAGAGATTTGAAAAAATCACAACGAACACTGTTCATGCATGAAACTGGGTCCGGAATTGGAGGCATCGAAGAACATTATTGGAAAAATTTAATATCCATAAGTGTAGGCCATTTATCGCTGATGTTTCAGCTATGGGCATTGTATAGGTCACTTAGAGGAAATTCGATGTTTAATTTGAATTACGACTGCTTTGCATCGAGCCCTCCTTATAAGATCAGAGTTAAGGTAGAGGGAGCACCACTACGAAGCACTAGCTTTGCTAGGCTGGGGCTATGATGGCATTATCCAATATGAGTGTGAACTATTGCAAAAGGGATGCTTTTGCGGACCAAAAGCAATATTAATTGCACAAATATTTAACTATTTACAGTTTCCCGACTACAATTGTTTGCCTCCTTTTTGGACTCGGTTCACTTGTTTTCAAGGGCATTTCACCAAAGATGACTAACTGCTGTGTAAGTTTGGTAAAGTCTGATTTTGCTCATTTGGCCACATTACAACCCCAAAGTTCTTTGCACTATAATTTTCAGTAAAATCATAACCTTTAAGTGAGCTGTCCTGATGCCTTTATGGCTAACTTTATGGTGCTTGATTACTCTACAGGTGATTTTATTTATAAGGTTTCTTCTCTCTCACCAATGAGACATTTCATTATACATTCTCGTAAGGCACTGCTCGAAGGCATCAGCCCTGCTGACAATCGTCGGATTCCAAAGTTCTTTGTTTTCTTGTTTCTCTCTTCTTCTTTTTTAATGTTGTTTGTTATTTTCATTCCGAGAATTTTCTGAAATGGTTTAATTATGGTGCTTAGGAACAGTATAGTATGTTCAGCTTATCATATAATGCAACTTCTAAGCAATCTGTTATGAATGTGGAAATTGGTTTACGTACTTCACATTCCCAATGGAAAGTTTGATTTGTAATTGTGTTTCTATCCACGTCTGTATCTAAGGCGTAGTGGAGCTGAGTTGAGTTGACACAGACTATTAATTTAATTCAACTCGTATTGAATAATAGAGACTCAATTAATTATCTTATGAAAGATGAGTCTCCGCTTAGTCAAGCCCGAACACGAGCTTGAGCTCAAACTAAAGTTTTATAAATACAATATAATTGATAATTTGTTATGTTTAAATGTCTTGCAATGACAACGAAACAAAAGTTTAATTACTAAATTAGGCTCAGGAGCTACTTGAGTTCAAAAATTGAACTCAAGCTGACTCAACGTAATTATCTAGCAATTCAAACTTAATCGAAATCGAACTAATTAAGCTGACCTTGAGTAGCTCAAGGATAGATTGAGATCTTGATTTGGTGATACTTTGGCTGGCGAAACTGCCATTTTGTCTTGAGTTTGTGTAATCATATGATTGGTAAAACTTTTTAGCACCATCATTTGAAATGACATTCCTGACTCGCCAATTTTTCTTGGATATTTGTGTATACAGGTGAATGCGGCATTGCTGGAAGGAGCTCATGGTGTAATTGCTCTACGCGCTCCTGCCTATAACTTTTATAGGTCCATCCATGCCTCCACATAGTTAGCATCTAGGGCTTTATCAAATTCTCATGTATTGGTGATTCCAGTTCAGCATTAATTGCTTATGTTAGTTTCGCCATTTATCTTTGAAATTTGAGGGCCATACTACAACAGGATGAATAATCCAAGGGAATGTTGATGGTATTGAAGAAAGGTATTATTTTCTTTTATGATATAAAGTGCAACGATGTAGATCAAACTTGATTAGATATTTGGCTAAGTCGAGCAGTGCCCGCTTTAGGGTTGCAAAATTTGTTTAGTGATTTGAAATTGGTTGTAAATTTTAGCAGCCCATGGCAGACTTTGGCGTCCGTAGATAGCGTTGTTTATGGTGTTCCAAGCAGTGGTGTCACGCGCCGTCAGGTATTGTTGTACATGTGGCTGGATATTATTACTTGCTTAATCCCTGCCTCCTGTTTGCTTCATGTATTCCCCTCCATGCAATTATCCAATTCTCAGGTCCTTAAAGAGGATGAAGTTTATGGAGATGCCGTTCTTGGAATACATGGAAAGAAACCAACTGTGCGTGACGTGGCGAAGGTATGAATGGAGAAAATGGTTTAACTAGATAATCTCTTCTTTTGTAGTGTTCTAGGGGTAGATTTGAGTAGCCTTTGCTTTACTATGCGATTGTCGGAAAAATTTAAGATCCATTAGTCTAGGCCATTTAGAGCTGATATTTCAGCTATGGGCATTATAAAGGCCACTTATTTGAGCGTGACCTTCGTGGAGAGTAGTCCAGCACCGAGAGGATCTGCAATGGATATCTTTAAAATCTCGCATATAGTATTTATTGCTGCAAAGCCATCGTTAGCATTTGGTGGCAGATTTCCTTCTTCTCTGCTTTTGGAATGTTTCTGGGTGTGATAGATAATATGTTTCTTGTTTGGCCAAAGATGAAGGTTTTTTCAATAATTTTATTTTTAACATGTTGCAGGCTTTGCTTGGTCTTTTCCATTCTGAGCCTTGAAATGGTTTGGAGAAGCGAAAAGCTGATGCAGCTTTCTGTTCGTATATTAGGCTGCTCGTTTCGGTTATATCGTGTTTTATAGTCTGACCATATGATTAACTTTAAGGCGGTCTTTCTAACTTGTAGAAGATGAAGTCTTTCTTTGAGGAGAGGTTCGATGCAATTCTTGATTCTGTGTTGGACACACCTATTGTGAAGGTTCCATCCAGTTCAGAAAACCCTTTCGCTAATATACGAGATGTGCTGCCTCCTCCATAAAAGGAAAGAGAACAAGAGGTGTTATATGCAAAATTATTTTTCGGGGAAATTCCAAATAAGGACTTGAAATGCCCTCATTCTCTCAAATAAGGGCTTGAAGTTGTTAAATAAGGGCCTAAAGTGGCCACAATAGTTCAAATCAGGGCCTGACCTTGCTGGTCGTTAGCCAACTAAATATTCCAACCGGTTAAGAGCATTTTCATCCAAAGACAATTTTAATTTTAAATTATTTTTTATTCTGGCTAAATATTCCCGCCAATCAAGGATGAGGCGATCCTCGCCCAGATGTGGTGAGGGTAGCCACAGGTGAGGGTGGCCTTGCTAGATTGGGTGAGGGTGACCCACGCCCAGCCCTCTCCGGGCATTGCTGGTGGCCGGTTGGTGGCCACTGGCGAAGAAGAAAGAAAAATCATAAAAAGAAAAAAAGAAAGAAAAAAGAAAAAAGAAGAAGAAAAAAAGCGAAAAAATTCAAGAAAAAAGGTGAAGGACAAAAATGCTCTTTAATCATCAGAAAGTCAAGCATTTCTTTAAAACTGACATAGCTATATCAAGCTCTTATTTGAAAAAATTGGAGCTCTTAAGACCCTTATTTGGAATTTTCCCTCATTCTTTTGCTTGTGCAACAGCTCTCTTAAATATCTTTCAATTCCAAAGTTGATAGGAAAAGGAGAGAGATTTGCAACTATTTTGAGAGGTGGCCCGTGGTCACTATCATCCCATGTTTCCATTTGTGATTCAGTACTGTATAATCAAACAAGTGGTCATTGTTGGAGCAACATCTTCAAATGAATTTTAATAACACCCACACTATCCTTGGTATAATATCTACAGTGTCTAAGTGCATATATATTCAAAGGACTGAGTGATACTCATAATATTATTCAATGAAGAAAATATCACAAGATTGTCCTTAAAAGATCATATAAACAGCACCAGTGATCTCAAAGATCAGCTAAATGATAATGTCCTATTAAAGCTGAAGAGATCTAGTAATTGGTAATGTTTAACTAACGGATCATTTAATATGACCGTTAGGTCACTATTGTAGCCGTTGGGACTGGACAGGCACAGCAGAAGACTCGATAGAAAGGAGAACTGATGGTCTGGCAGGTAGTCAGAATCACAGCTACAATACAACAGCATAAGCTATTTCAAGAAAGTCTGCAGAAGTTCAAAAATAGGTTGTATGGGCAATCAGTTCCGTGGACAGCAGCTTCAACGACTCTAACGGCTATTTTGCCTCTCCAGGACATAAGCAACGACTAGTTTGAAGATGCCTATAAAAGAGAAGGTCTTTGAAGTCAACAATTTAGAGAGAGAGTATGTGTGCATACAATATTTCTGAAATCTCTTACTTGCTGTGTACTGAGCAAAAAGCTCCTGCTTGTCGATAGCACTTGCCGTAATGTAATTGTGTTGAAATTTCAAGTATACCAAGTGATAGCAGCATCCACCTCCTGGTACTGTGATCTACAAACTGATAGAAGTGGTGCTTGCTGAGTGTAACTTGATCAGCAAATTACCAGTGCAATGTAGCCTAACTTATGGCCGATAGTGGTGAGAGTAACTTGATCAGCAAATTACCAGTGCAATCTAGCCCAACTTATGGCTGATAGTGGTGAGAGTGGACGTAGGCTTGGAATCAAAGCCGACAATTCATATGAACATATACATGTATGATATGATTTTGACAATTTTAACTTCTAGCTCTATGTTGGAGCCAAAAGTTGGGGGCAAAACAAGCCCAAACCCACCCTTGGGCACAAGACAACTAATGTAACCAAAGAGAGGGGTTGGATGTACATTTACTACAATAATATAACGTAAGCTATCGGAACTAGAAATACTTTTCAAATATGGATACAATATACTTCTTCCAACACAAGAATTTTAATCTCATTCATCTAGAGAGAAAAGATACATGAGTCAGCAAAGAAATAATGCACAGATTATGCATTGCCTGATTTAAATCCATGAAAGAAGCCAAGGCATACCAGCATTTCCACGAACATGCAAGAAGCTTCTGCTCTCTATTGAGTACTCATAGCAAATTTAAGGAAAGGCGCTCTGCTCTCGCTCTTGGCAGCTGTGAAATCCATATTCCACTTCTAAATGAGTTAATTGTATGCTTTGACAACAGACACAAGAACAGATACTCTATATATACCACATTTTACCTTAAGCACTATGAGATCAGCACCTAGTATCTCTTTGATTTCGTCACTTACTCGCCTCAGTATCTGCACTTTTCAGGCTTGAAGTTCAGCAGACTGTAAAACAGAGATGGTCCGCATATCAGGTACTATTCCCTTAAACAACATTTCTTTATAAAGATATTCAGCCCTTTCCATGTTTCCCTTACTACAGCAGCCAGATATAAGAGATGTGTAAGTTACCACATCTGGCTGAAGCCCAGTTCCAATCATTTCCCTCAATAAATCCTCAGCTTCCTCAATGTTGCCAAGCTTACAAAGCCTGTCAATCAAAACGGTATAACAAATTACATCAGGTGCTATTTTGTCTTTCATCTCCAGCCAAAGCATTTTGATGACATTATTTGCTCCGGAATCCCCTGTTACTTTCTTTGTTTTGTTTCTATCGTGAAGGGAACATTTCCTTCGAAGATCTACTTTTGAATAACCATCAAGTAACACTGTATAAGCAATTACATCAGGCTCAACCCCTCTATTCTTCATTTCATGGAAAAGATCAAGCCCTTCCTGCAAGCGATTTGCGTGAAAGTATCCATCCATCATTAACGTATAAGTGGCAACATCAGGGGTTGATCCCTTCTCCACTGATCTATCAAACAACCACTGCGCATTTATCATATCACCAGCTTTGCAAAGAGCAGCCATCAAAATACTGTACATCACTCCAGTAGGTTCCATGTCCAGATCCAACATTTTGTTGAGTAATTTACGAGCCATAACATCATCACCTTCAACAAAAAGGTTAGCTAGCAATTTGAAGCAGGAATTTTTCTTTACTGACTTTTTTTCTGCTTTTGCTAACTCCATGAAAAGTTTAAAGGCCTTCCTTGAATGGTTGGCTTGGCAATACCCCCTGAACATGGCAGCTTTATTCTCTGTTCTCTTCTCTTGCAGGCCAGAGAAAAACACTTCAGCTTCCTCGACTTTACCTGAAATACATAAGCCCTCAATTATCATGTTGTGCGTGACAACGTTGGGTTTCACACCGCAAGTGTCCATATGTCTTAGAAGCTCACGCGCCTCATTCACAAGTCCTGCCCGAGAATATCCGTGGGCAAGTACATTGTAAGTGACAATATCAGGCTGAAAACCTCTCTTCTTCATCTGCTCGAGCACATCCAATGCATTGTAAATGTCGCCCCGGAGACAGTAGCCACTGATTAAAGTTGTGTAGTGCACGATATCAAGAACCATTTGCTTGCCCTTCATCTCTTCAAGTAACTCTGCGGCCACTTCCACTCTGCCCAGCTTGCACAGAGCAACGACAGCAATATTGTATGTAACCTCATCCAGAAAAATGCCCGACTCTTTAAATTCATTAAACTGATGCACTGCTTCATGAGGCATGCCCATATCACAGAAGCACTGGAGAAGGGTGCTTATGATAACGCAGTTGGACTTGATACCTTTTGACAGCATATAATCGTGCAGAGCCAGGGCTCGCGGCAAATTGAAACTCTTGCAATGGCCATGAATCAAGGCAGCATAGGAGTAGACATCGGCTACAATGCCGTGCTCTTCCATATCGACCAGGACTTGCTCTGCCTCTTCCAACTTCATTTCGGTACAAAAACCACGGAGGACTGCAGTATAGGCGTAGTCAATCAAGGAGATCCCTGCAGACCGCCAAGCTAGGAGAACCTGATAAGCCAAATGGGAGCGGCGGTGGGTGCAGAGGCCTTCGAGGTAGGTAGTGTAAGCAAAGCTATTAGGGGTGACTCCAGCCTCGACCATGTGATGGAACACGCGAGCAGCTCCGTCCAAGTCACAAGCCCTGCAAAAGGCCTTGATCAAGATGGCATAGGTGTAGTCATTGGCAATAAAATCGAACCGCCTCAGCATCTCATACAGAGTAATGGCAGCAGCGGGATTGCGGCTTTCAATCAAGCGGTTGAGGAGGAAATTACAGGTAGAGACGCAGGGAAGGAGGGCGCCCCTCTTGAAGCGGAACAAGGAATCAATAGCTTCATCCAAGAGGCCAGCGCGAACATAGGCCTTGACGAGGAAATCAATAGACCGAAGGAGGAGAGGGGACCCGCCCAGCCGAGCAAGAGAATCAAGTAAGGAAGGAATAGCAGTGCGCCGTGCGGCATGGAAGGAGGCGATGAGGCGGCAGAAGACGAAATCGAGGCGGAAGCGGGAGGCGGAGGGGGAGAGGATGGAGATGAGGGAGGCGTAAGTGGGAGGGTCGAGAGGGAAGCCACACGAATCCAGGTGAAGAACGAAGGAGAAGGCGAGATCGGGGTCGGGATGGTGCTTAAGCTGGTTCACTGCGGCGGCAACGGAAGCGGGAGAGTCGAATTGTAGTACTTCGGGAGGGTGGGAGTCGAGGAGACAGGCGGAGGCAGAGAGGAACTTGGGTTTGGGGAAGGAGGAGGAGGATGAACAGAGGAGCCTCTTGGTGCACCTTACAACTGCAGGGGAGACCCACATCACCCACTACTGCTTCAGCAACCCACGATGACGACGAGGAGCTGCTTCATTAACTAATGGGTGCGTGTCCTAAGTTTTGCTACTGCAGTCCACGGAGATCAATCCACGGAGATCAAAGTGGTTGATGGACAGTTTCTGAGTTTTGAGGATGAGTTGGGTGGATGGATGGAGGGAGTTGTGCTTCCCGCAACAAAGAAACCTTATTACTTTCGACCAAGAACCCAAAAAAAAAGAATAAGAAAATACTTGGCGGCAAGCGGATATCTTCTTCCTCTTCTGTTTTTTTTTTGGTGTGATTCGTTCCCTCAAAAATTAAAACAAGACCATTACAGTAGAATTTCTCGAGATTGTCTCGACCTTTATGAAGCTTTCACTTCCTTCATTTGAATCCTAAATCTTCCAAAATCCGTTTCATTACTTTAAGTAAATAAAAAGTTTACCCAACATCTTTTCAACAGTTTCATTCTTTTTAAGACGCGGCACAAATCCACATGAAAATACGAAAAATTTGTACATCAAGAAAGAAAAGAAGAGAGAGAAAGAATTGGGGAGAATTGACATTGATGGGCCACCTTTACCGGCCCACTTCGGGGGTCACTGCGAGGGCCTTCTAGCCACCCACCAAATTTGGACCACGACAGTGTTGTGTCCAACCTTGTGCTCTAGGCAGGGGTTAAGAAGGCTTGGCAGATGTTTGCATCATTCGACTCGGTGGAACTATAGGTAAATAGCATCGGTAGAGGCTATCTTTTTCCTGCTTTTGGGTGGACTAAAATCATATCAATGAGAGGCCATCCAGTGTTCGATGAGGCATCTTCCCGCGATTGAACTTGTTGCCAAATATCGGCCATTCAGAGGGTCCCAAGGAAGTCAGTGTGACCTGGACTTTTTCCGACAAAAGGAAACAAACGAAGTAGTGGACAAAAAGAGGATGCAGATAAGCCCTAGAACTGAATAATTAGGTTCAGTCATGTTTTCGATCGGTACAAGGAGTTCTTAAATGAGCTTGTTCCTAGTGAATGTGACTGATATAAGTAGCAAAAAAATAGCTAGAAGTTGGTATTTCCTCTACGCGTGAAATGGATGTCCATTATTATTATTTAGTTTAGTACTGTTATTATGACCTAACTAAGTATCTGCGAAACTTCTGAAGGACATTTAAGGTTACACATGGGTTTAACTTGTGCACAGGGACAGAGGGAAGTAATTTTTTTAATACAGTTTGTGGTAGGGTTTAGGGTTTAAGGGTTTTAGGATTTAGGGTTTTAGGGTTTAGGGTTCGGGGGGTTTAGGGTTTTAGGGTTGAGGGTTCGGGGTTGAGGGTCGGGGTTTGAGGGTTTTAGGGTTGAGGGTTCGGGGTTGAGGGTTGAGGGTTCGGGGTTTGGGGGTTTTGGGGCCTGAGGGTCCCGGGCTGAGGGGTCCGGGTCTGGGGGCCTCTGGGGTCCGGGGCCTGGGGTCTGGGGGCCTCCGGGGCCTGGGGGGCCTGGGGCCTGGGGGCTCAGGGGCCTGTGGCCCTGGGGGCCTGGGGCCTGGGGGGCCTCAGGGGGCCTTTGGGGGCCTAGGGTGCCTTTGGGGTCTTAGGGCTCTGGCCTAGGCCCAGGCCAGGGCCTCAGGCCTTAGGCCTAGGCCTAGGCCAGGGCCCAGGCTGGCCTAGGCCTAGGGCCCAGGCCTAGGCCCAGGCCCAGGCCCAGGGCCCAGGCCCAGGCCCAGGGCCCAGGCCTAGGGCCTAGGCCTAGGGCCAGGGCCTAGGGCCCAGGGCCTCAGGGCCTGGCCCAGGCCCAGGGCCAGGCCTAGGGCCTAGGCCCAGGGCCCAGGGCCTAGGGCCTAGGCCTGGGCCTAGGCCCAGGGCCCAGGGCCCAGGGCCTAGGGCCAGGGCCCAGGCCTAGGGCCCAGGGCCCAGGGCCTAGGCCCAGGGCCTAGGGCCTAGGCCTAGGGCCTAGGGCCCAGGGCCTAGGCCTAGGCCTAGGGCCCAGGCCCAGGCCCAGGCCTAGGCCCAGGGCCCAGGCCCAGGCCCAGGGCCCAGGCCCAGGGCCCAGGGCCCAGGCCCAGGCCCAGGGCCTCAGGGCCTAGGGCCTAGGCCTAGGCTAGGCCTGGCAGGCTCAGGGCCTAGGCTAGGCCCAGGCCCAGGGCCCAGGGCCTAGGGCCTCAGGCCTGGGCCTCAGGCAGGCCCAGGCCTCCAGGCCCAGGCCTAGGCCTAGGCCCAGGCCTAGGGCCTAGGCCCAGGCCCAGGGCCTAGGCCTAGGCCCAGGCCCAGGCCTAGGCCTAGGCCCAGGGCCTAGGCCTAGGCCTAGGCCCAGGGCCCAGGCCTAGGGCCTAGGGCCTGGCCTAGGCCCAGGGCCCAGGCCTAGGCCCAGGCCCAGGCCAGGCCCAGGCCCAGGCCTGGGCCCAGGGCCCAGGCCTGGGCCAGGGCCTAGGGCCCAGGGCCCAGGCCCAGGCCTCAGGGCCCAGGGCCTAGGCCCAGGCCCAGGCCTAGGCCCAGGCCAGGCCCAGGCCTAGGCCTAGGCCCAGGCCCAGGCCCAGGGCCCAGGCCCAGGCCCAGGGCCCAGGCCCAGGCCCAGGCCTAGGCCCAGGGCCTAGGCCCAGGCCTGGCCCAGGCCCAGGGCCTAGGCCTAGGCCCAGGCCCAGGGCCCAGGGCCCAGGGCCCAGGGCCCAGGCCAGGCCCAGGCCCAGGCCCAGGCCCAGGCCCAGGCCTAGGCCTAGGCCTAGGCCCAGGCCTAGGCCCAGGCCCAGGCCCAGGGCCCAGGGCCCAGGCCCAGGCCCAGGCCCAGGCCTAGGCCCAGGCCTAGGCCCAGGCCGGCCCAGGGCCCAGGCCAGGCCCAGGCCCAGGCCCAGGCCCAGGCCCAGGGCCCAGGGCCCAGGCCCAGGGCCCAGGCCTAGGCCCAGGCCCAGGGCCCAGGCCTGGGCCCAGGCCTAGGCCCAGGGCCCAGGCCCAGGCCTAGGCCTAGGCCCAGGCCCAGGGCCCAGGGCCCAGGCCCAGGCCTAGGCCCAGGCCAGGCCCAGGGCCCAGGCCCAGGCCCAGGCCCAGGGCCCAGGCCCAGGCCCAGGGCCCAGGCCCAGGGCCCAGGCCAGGCCCAGGCCCAGGGCCCAGGCCTAGGGCCTAGGCCCAGGCCTAGGCCCAGGCCTAGGCCCAGGCCCAGGGCCCAGGGCCTAGGCCCAGGGCCCAGGCCCAGGCCCAGGCCCAGGCCCAGGCCTAGGCCTCAGGCCTAGGCCCAGGCCCAGGCCTAGGGCCAGGGCCCAGGCCAGGGCCCAGGCCAGGCCTGGGCCCAGGCCCAGGCCCAGGGCCTAGGCCAGGGCCTAGGGCCTAGGCCTAGGCCCAGGCCCAGGCCCAGGCCCAGGCCTAGGCCTAGGCCCAGGCCCAGGGCCCAGGGCCCAGGGCCCAGGCCCAGGCCCAGGCCCAGGGCCCAGGGCCCAGGCCTAGGCCCAGGCCAGGCCCAGGCCTGGGGCCCAGGGCCCAGGCCCAGGCCCAGGGCCCAGGCCCAGGCCCAGGCCTAGGGCCCAGGCCTAGGCCCAGGCCCAGGGCCTAGGCCCAGGCCTAGGCCCAGGCCTCAGGCCAGGCCCAGGCCCAGGCCTGGCCTAGGGCCCAGGGCCTAGGCCCAGGCCTAGGCCCAGGCCTAGGCCTAGGCCCAGGGCCTAGGCCCAGGGCCCAGGCCTAGGCCCAGGCCCAGGCCTAGGCCTAGGCCCAGGCCCAGGGCCCAGGCCCAGGCCCAGGCCCAGGCCCAGGCCCAGGGCCCAGGCCTAGGCCTAGGCCCAGGCCCAGGCCCAGGCCCAGGCCCAGGCCCAGGCCCAGGCCTAGGCCAGGCCCAGGGCCCAGGGCCTAGGGCCCAGGCCTAGGCCCAGGGCCTAGGGCCCAGGCCCAGGCCCAGGCCTAGGCCCAGGCCCAGGCCTAGGCCCAGGCCCAGGCCCAGGCCTACCAGGCCCAGGCCCAGGCCAGGCCCAGGCCCAGGGCCCAGGGCCCAGGCCCAGGGCCCAGGCCCAGGCCTAGGCCTAGGCCAGGCCCAGGCCTAGGCCCAGGCCTAGGCCCAGGCCCAGGCCCAGGCCCAGGCCCAGGCCCAGGGCCTAGGCCCAGGCCCAGGGCCCAGGCCCAGGGCCTAGGCCCAGGCCTAGGCCCAGGCCCAGGCCCAGGCCCAGGCCCAGGGCCCAGGGCCCAGGCCCAGGGCCCAGGCCCAGGCCCAGGCCCAGGCCCAGGCCCAGGCCCAGGCCCAGGCCCAGGCCCAGGCCAGGCCTAGGCCAGGCCAGGCCCAGGCCCCAGGCCTAGGCCTAGGCCTAGGCCAGGGCCAGGCCTAGGCCTAGGCCTAGGCCCAGGCCCAGGCCCAGGCCCAGGGCCCAGGCCCAGGCCCAGGCCCAGGCCCAGGCCCAGGCCCAGGGCCCAGGGCCCAGGGCCCAGGCCCAGGCCCAGGCCCAGGCCCAGGCCCAGGCCTAGGGCCCAGGGCCCAGGCCCAGGCCTAGGCCTAGGCCCAGGCCAGGCCGGCCAGGCCCAGGGCCCAGGCCCAGGCCCAGGCCCAGGCCCAGGCCTGGCCTAGGCCCAGGCCCAGGCCCAGGCCTGGGCCTAGGCCCAGGCCTAGGCCCAGGCCTAGGCCCAGGCCCAGGCCCAGGGCCCAGGCCCAGGCCCAGGCCCAGGCCCAGGCCCAGGCCCAGGCCCAGGCCCAGGCCTAGGCCCAGGCCCAGGCCCAGGGCCTAGGCCTAGGCCCAGGCCCAGGCCCAGGCCCAGGCCCAGGCCCAGGCCAGGCCCAGGCCCAGGCCCAGGCCTAGGGCCTAGGCCCAGGCCCAGGCCCAGGCCCAGGCCCAGGCCCAGGGCCTAGGCCCAGGCCTAGGCCCAGGCCTCAGGCCCAGGCCAGGCCAGGGCCCAGGCCCAGGCCCAGGGCCCAGGCCCAGGGCCAGGCCCAGGCCTAGGCCCAGGGCCCAGGCCCAGGCCCAGGCCCAGGCCCAGGCCCAGGCCCAGGCCCAGGCCTAGGCCTGGGGCCCAGGCCTCAGGCCCAGGCCCAGGCCCAGGCCCAGGCCCAGGCCCAGGCCCAGGGCCCAGGCCCAGGCCCAGGCCCAGGCCCAGGCCCAGGCCCAGGCCCAGGCCCAGGCCCAGGCCCAGGCCCAGGCCCAGGCCTAGGCCTAGGCCCAGGGCCCAGGGCCAGGCCTAGGCCCAGGGCCCAGGGCCCAGGCCTAGGCCCAGGCCCAGGGCCCAGGCCCAGGGCCCAGGCCCAGG